GGGCGGGCAGCGCAGAATAATCAGAGACAGTAGGCAGGATGGGTGGGGAGCACTGAGTCAGAGTCAGCTTACATGGTAGCGCTGCGCTGGATAGATCTGGCGTATTGTCTTTTTCTGTGGCTTTAAATACTTTTTTTGGAGCCGCTCTCTCTCTTTTCTCTCTCTCTCTCTCTGTCTTTATTTTTCTTGATTTATCCCATTCTCTTCTCTTCTACTTTCCTATCCTTTCTTTTCTCAAAGCCTCCTTTCTATCCCCTCTAAGCTGGCATGGCTGTCCTTCTGCAACTCTTGCCTCTCGCCGAAAGCTGCATGTGTGACCACGTGGAGTTTGTTACACGATCACAACCATCCTCATGTAGATCCACTCTAAGATCACAGAGAACAACAAGACCTACAAATGTCTATGCATCGAAAAGATGTAAACTTGTTTACTATGTTTGTTTGCTAAATTTCTGTAAATCTTTGAAAATGTGTGTTCTGTGATGTGTTGATTGTGTTATTCTCTCTGAGCTCTTATACCACAGCTTTACAGTCAGTTCAATTGGACTTTTAATAGTATTTTCACACTATTAGGCAGACTCGAACCGTACTGTGCTGGCTTGGATATTTTAATTTCACATTAACCTTTCCAGCATGGTTTCAACAACTATGATGAATGTCTAAACCAAGGCAGCTTGGCTTGGCTCCGTAGTGTGAATCAACCCTGATTGACCTTTGACCTCTTTGTATTTTAGGAGCGGATGCACTTTGAGAGTTTGAGTCAGCACCTGGGCAAACTGGGAGAAGATGGAAAGATGGGCCACAGGGTCATTGACCTCACCAGACCTGAGGATCTTGATGGTGGGTTTCGTCTGTCTCTCTCTTTCTTTCTTTCTTTCTTTCTTTCTTTCTTTCTTTCTTTCTTTCTTTCTTTCTTTCTTTCTTTCTTTCTTTCTTTCTTTCTTTCTTTCTTTCTTTCTTTCTTTCTAAATTTCTAAATTTCTAAATGTCTAAATTTCTAAATGTCTACATTTCTAAATTTCTGATTGTCTTCATACACAACTATCTCTTTCAGTTCTCCATACTTTTATGTAAGTGCATTCTGTTGATGTTTATGACTGTGTGCTTACGACCTGTGTCTATACGGCTAGGTGCATAATAGTAGGAAAACAGAGAAGAGAGAGGTCAGATGGATATTTATAAAACGGTAACATAGCTGCAGGAAGTAGGGGTACTGAAGGTGCTTCAGCAGCCCCTGAAAAATCACAATAAAAATCATAATAATAATGTACAGTGTATATATATTATTTTCGTTTTTTATATATATATATTTTTTTTTCTCACAAAAGTAGTGCACTGGGCCTTTAATAGTCCTGTATTAGCGGACATATATAGCCGTCTGCAGCGCAGGCAAAGACCCCCCTCCCCTGTCGAAGAAAAAAATTGCGGCTATGGACAGTAGAAGAGTTTTGAGGTAAAAGTGGGCGCATCCTGCTCAGGCTAAATGGATGCCAGTGACCCTTCACTTCAGGCCCTTGGTTGGGTGGCGGCACTTTTTTGGGCCTTTTTCAGCTGCGTTCCCTATAGTAGAGACACAGACAGAGAGTTTGCTCTGCACACAGGTATTCACCAGACACAAATATGTATTGTGTTCCTCTCGGAACGCCTCAGAAGTGGACACTTGACAGTCCAAGCAAAATGTTCTCCAAACCCCTGCCTTGCACTTAAAGCGGCAATCAGCAGTTGAAACAATAACAAAACATAATCTCCACCACGGTTTCACTAAAAAGCTGAGGGATAGGGCTGGAGAAATGTAACCATTGATAGACAGAGCTATGGATGCAAGGACTGACCATCCATAATATAAAAACTACAGTTTTAACAATGTTTTGAGGCTATACAGTGTTTGTTTACATTTACTTTGTTTACAAACATCGGAGTAAAACAAGCTTATATTTTGGGTTCTGATGGGGTACGACAGTTGAACTAAGCTCATGAGGCATTTATAAGTTATATTAGTTTAGAATCATTGGGTACATATCATTCATTTAAAAGTCAAAAAAGTGATGTAGCAACTTCAGATAGCCCCTTTAAAGGCCCACTCTATGATATTTACAGCCGTTTCTGATAATTTAAGGCCTAGTGAGCTTTGTTCAATAACCCCATCACAATCCCTCAGCTAAATACAAATAAAGTGGCAGGGTTTCCGTTTTGTTGTTTTTCAAATGAAGGACTTAGGTCTACGGGGGAACAAGAAACATTATTCTAGATTCTCCCCCTCTTTCCAACCCACAAGCACTGTTTGTGTCTCAGACAATTCCACCCTGCCGAAGTATGCAAGCAGAAGCAAGGCAGTTAAAACAGATTGGGGACTTTTCTCTTTTCCAGCCCAGAAGCCCACCTGTTTTCCATAAAACCCCAGTGTTTACAGGCTACGGTGGATTGGGAAGCATTCGTCACGCTGTAGCTTGAAATCAGAGCTGTAAATACAAGAACATAAATGGAGATCTTATCTGGCTGATAATCGTAGCGTCGTCCCCGCTCTTGGACATACTGTGCAGTACATGTACTTGTGACATTTTGTGGCTTAACAGGTCTTTGCACAAACGAGTGAGCGATTGAGTAAGTAATGCAATGTCCCTCCCTTCCCACAGGTGGTGCCAGCACTACGGAAGCACGGGTCTTCAGGGAGGCCAGGGGCAGGAACAGTACCGAGCCCCACATCAAGAGGCCCATGAATGCCTTCATGGTGTGGGCCAAGGATGAGAGGAGGAAGATCCTGCAAACCTTCCCCGACATGCATAACTCCAACATCAGCAAGATCCTGGGTAAGATAACCTCTTTTGTGCAGAGCCGTGGTGTAGTGGTAATACACCCCGGCATGTCGCATATAAAACTCCCCACTGGCTTCCAGGTTTCAATCCTTGCGTCCATCCTTCTCACTGTTTCTCCCACTTGCCTGTCTCCCCCTCTAATTTCCTAACTGTCTTTAAGGGATACTTCGGGATTTTGGCAATGAGGCCCTTTATCTACTTCCCCAGAGTCAGACAAACCTATGGATATCAATTGTATGTCTTTGTTTCCAGTATGAAGGAAGTTAGAGGTACTTTCGTGAGCGTTAATGACTGGAAGTCTATGGGTATCTGCTAGCATGCTAGTTAGCAATTGTGGTAGCGCTAGTTAGCAACTTCCCTCAAACTGCACTCAGAGACGTAAAGATGGTATCCACGAGTTCATCTGATTCTGGGGAACTACATAAAGGTCCTCATTGCCAAAATAATGAAGTATCCCTTTAATAAAGTGTAAAAAACACATAACAATATACAAATATATATTTTTAAAGATGGCATCCATACACTGTGGCCTTGTTATGGTCATACAGGGCCTTTCATTTACAAAAATTAAGCGTATTGATTTACCACAGACAGCAATTTAGTGGTTTTGAGTGTGAAAACATAGCAAATCACCCCAGACTGGGACACGGTCCGGTAGGGCTTCCGAACAAGTGGTGTATAGTTAACAAATACTCAGGATGTGACCCAATAGTCACGGTTGGGTAGGTTACTTTTTTGTGATATCCAATTGCGATCCAATTACGATCTTGTCTCATCGCTGCAACATCCCAACAGGCTCGGGAGAGGCGAAGGTCGAGTCATGTGTCCTCCGAAACATGACCCGCCAAGCCGCGGTTCTTAACACCCGCCCGCTTAACCCGGAAGCCAGCTGCACCAATGTGTCTGAGGAAACACAGTTCAACTGACAACCGAAGTCAGCCTGCAGGCACCCGGCCCGCCACAACGAGTCACTAGAGCGCGATGAGCCAAGTAAAGGCCCCCCGGCCAAACCCTCCCCTAACCCGGACGATGCTGGGTAAATTGTGCGCCGCCCCTATGGGACTCAGTTACTTTCTAAATGTAATCCGTTACAGTTACTAGTTACCTGTCCAAAATTGTAATCAGTAACGTAACTTTTGGATTACCCAAACTCAGTAACGTAATCAGTTACTTTTAGATTACTTTCCCCTTAAGAGGCGCAGGTTAGCATTTTTTGTCTTGAATCTTGTTGAGGCAGCTCTGCAGAGTGGTCACTAGCTGGCACAGCCACAAAGTCATAAAATCCGATTTTAACCCTAACCTTAAATTAAGACCAGAAAGCTAATTCTTGTTTTAATTAATATTTACAATATAGTCAATTTTGCCTTTACAGATGGCCCATCTAGCGGAAATCGCTCAGTTCTACCTGAAAGACAACACTCATCCCAATAAACGTCAACCTGCTTAAGAGGCATTAAAAGAAGACAAAAATGAATATTACCAACTGAACGACATCTATTGCATGATAAATCAATGTTAGAGTTTACATAGCTGGCCATAAATAGATGTTGCATTTTACTTTATGGGTTGGTTATGTATGGTTATGTATGCATGTTCTAACCCATTTCTACTACATATAATAATATGATTAAGCCATGATTAGGCTATATTTTTACATTAAAAAACAACTGTCTGTCAGATTTCCAGTCATTCAAATTATTTAGTATCCCTTGATCTTCAAGAATAGGACTTGGAAATATGGAAATATAGATTAGTCTAATTGTTTGGTATTGTTATTTAATATTGGTATTTATTAGGATCCCCATTAGCCATTGCAAAAGCAGCAGCTACTCTTTCTGGGGTCCACATGAAACATGACATAATACATAGTACAGAACATTATTAGTCAAGGACTTAACTACATACATTTTAAACGTCACACATAGCCTACATATCAGTACATACACACAATATCTAGGTCTAATACATAGTACAGTGCAAATTACAAGACAAGATATATAAAATGTCTGTGTCTCTTCACTGTCCCCTTTGTCCAGTAAGGTGTTCTTTTATCTGGGGTTTTTTCTGGTTTTATTGCTAGCTTGAGTTATGTGGTGTGGCAGAGAGTTCCATGTAGTCATGGCTCTATTTAATACTGTGCATTTCCCAGCCTCTGTTCTAGACCTGGGGACTGTGAAGAGAGCTCTGGTTGCATTTCTTGTGTTGTACCGATGAGTGTCCGAACTGTGTGCCAACTGCTTGAACAGACAGTTCGGTACCTTTAACACACCAATACCTCGTACAAAGACCAATAGTGATGCAGTCAATCTCTCCTCAACTTTGAGCCAGGAGAGACTGACATGCATGTTACTTACACTTAACTATCGTGTACATCTAAGTGTGATACCTGCTGCTTTTGTTCTGGACCAACTGCAATTTACCTATGCACTTCTTTGCCGCACATGACCACACAGCTGGGCAGTAGTATAGGTGCAACAAAACTATTAAGGCCTGTAGGAACTGTCTGGTCGACTGCAATGTCAAGAAGACAGAGCAATGCCCTATCATGGACAGAACTATTCCCATTTTAGCAACCATTGAGTCTATATGTTTTGACCATGGCAGCTTGCTATCTAGTGTTACACCCAGCAGTTTAGTCTCCTCAACTTGCTCAATAGACACATTATTCAATAATAGAACTAAACGAGGTTTAGCGTTGAGCGAGTGATTTGTCCCAAATATGATGCTTTTCGTTTTTGAGATACTTAGCTCTATGTTAAGGGTGTCCGTTATTTATTTTACTGTTGCAGCCGACTTGTATACTGTTGAGTCGTCAGCGTACATAGACACAAAGGCTTTATTTAAGGTCAGTGGAAGGTCATTTGTAAAAACAGAAAACAATAATGGCCCTAGCCGACTGCCCTGCGGTACACCACACTCAACTGAATTTGCATGAGAGAGGCTTCCATTAACGAAAACCCTCTGTGTTCTATTAGATAGGTAACTCTCAATCCACAATAAGGCATAGGATGCAAATCCATAACACCTACATTTTTTCAGCAATAGGTTATGATCAATGAGCTGCACTGAAGTCTAACAGAACAGCTCCCAATCTTCTTACTATCAATTTCTTTCAGCCAATAATCAGTCATTTGTGTCAGTGCTGAGCATATTGAGTGCCCTTCCCTTTAAGCATGCTGAAAGTCTTGTTAATTTATTTTCTGTAAATTAACTTTGTAGTTGATCAAACACCATTTTTTTTCAAAGGTTTGCTAAGCACTTGTACAACAGGCTGATTGGTCGGCTACTTGAACCATTAAAGGATGCTCTGCTATTCTTGGGTAGTTGAATTACCTTTGCCTCCCTCCATGTCTGAGGGCACACACCGTCTTCTAGGCTGAGCATAACCCAAAAACGAAGGACTAATTAGCCTACTCTGTTGTTTATTATCTTGTTGTCATGGAGGACTGATTGGGCTCATTGCTTCCAGTTGAAAAATAAATGCTGCTATTGGAATGGTATGCTTTGTAGGTCTATCAAAAGTATGCGAGTTTGAGAATGTCTGTTAGGCCTATGGATTATTTATCTTTTATAATCAGTATGAATTAGATTGCGCAATAAAAGCCCCACTCATGGTGGTTAAATTAAACTAGTTTTTGACAGGATGGAGCACAACACCACGGGGGAGTTTAAAAGGGAGGAACTCCCTCAAACTTTTATTCTATAGGCTGGCATCTGCACTATCCAGCTGTTGCAAGAGTGCATTTTATACTGGCTGTCCACTGGGGCATATTCATTACACCGATTCTGTTGCAAAACGTTTCTTAAACGGAAGCAAACAGAAAGAAACGGGGAGGGACGTACCTGGATTTGTCCAATAGGAACTGTTGTTTTGCTCTGCTTCCGTTTGGTTCTTAAACGGTAAACGGTTTCCTTAATGAAATTGTTGATGGCCCCATAAATAGATAAGATGGTGGCCCATTAACTAGATAAGATGGTGGCCCATTTATATAGATAAGATGGTGGCCCATTAAATAGATAAGATGGTGGCCCATTAAATAGATGGTGTGTAGGCATGCTCTTTTATAGAGGTAACTGTGCACACTGTGTGCTTATGAAACAGAAACAGACAGTTTTACTAATACCCCACATCTCCAAAATATTGTTAATCGGTCAACTACCAATCGATCGATGAATCAATCAATTAATCTGACCTTATTTAATTCAATCTTATTTAATCATTCAAACACTATATTTGAATAAATTATATATTTTCCTTACAAAATTCAGTATTCACATAGAACTCTCTTTCTCACACACACACACACTGCACTGAGACCCCGACTGGGGTGATGGATGTGTGCAGTGAAAAGTGCTTCTTGTGTTGATACTAGCTAGCTAACTGACACAGATAGCTATTCACAGAGCACTAAACTTTGCTGTACACAGAATGGCTGAAGGGCTCCACTGTCTTGTGACTCGAGTCCTAGCTGCATCCCAAATGGCACCCTATTTCATACAGTATATAGTGCACGACTTTTGACCAGGGACCATATTCCTAAATAGGGAATATGGTGCTATTTGGGACACAGCCCTTATAGTTCATAGACTGAATGAAATTGGAATGTTGCTTGGCAACGTGTAGGAGCTGGTTTTTAGAAGGGGGACTATGTGCCTGGTCTTTAGGTGCAGCTTTGTATATACTTAGAGGGAAAATAGTTTTCTGTCGTGTATTGGTGTTCTACTGTTTGGCTTTGAGCAAACGGTGTTAAGTGACTTTGCTCGCTATTTTAGAGGCAAACTGAACGCTGAAATAAAGAAATACAATCTTAGCTCTTTTCTCATCCATAGACCAGTGTTCAATATCACCGAAGTTATCATTCTAAAGAATTAGATAGTTCAAACCTCATCACTCGAAGTTGGGGTCAAAAATTGAGGGTCTCCACCCAATCAGGTGGAGACAGAACATTCCGGATATTTACCTAGCTAGCGGTTTGTTTTTTGGCAACACCAGGGAAATGCCCGACCTGAGAGGCGATCAGGAGAGGATGGAGTGTGTGCTGCCCAGACAATAACACAGCTGGAGACGTGGGACATGATGAAAAAAAGGAGTGTCCTCACTGTTTCCTGTTTCCTTAGTTAAAAAATAAGGGAGTCTCGATAAACGTTGGTAAACAGATTCCTGGGCGGCATCCCAAATGGCACCCCAATCGCTATATAGTGCACTACTTTTGACCAGAGCCCTACGGACCTTGGTCAAAAGTAGTGCACTAAATAGGGAATAGGGTGCGATTTGGGACGCAGTCCTGGATTCCTCTCTGTGTGTGTCCTATCTGCGGTGTGTATAATGGCTTGTCAGAAAGCAGATGTGCTCCATTCCTGCGGTAACGGACCTGTCCACTTGTTCTGTCAGCTGGGTGCTTATAGGAGAGACATGTTGAGAACACAATGTATCAGAGATCCAGTGCCAATCCTTAAGACTGTTTTCAAACTAGTAGATTATCTTATTAGAGGCTCCTACCTGAAGAGATGTCCTGCTATGATAGAAGTAAGACAGTATACATTTAGTGCAGTGGAGGTGCTGACACATACAATTCAATGGCTAAATTAACCACATTATAAGAACATAAATAATCAATTTACAGAACATTGTAATCCACTAAATGGTGAAAAAATACCTATTTACAGGACCAAACTGGACAAACTTTGACTCCAATATACTCTACAAACACCAATACCCTCATGCTGTCTTTGAGTGTGTGCGCGTGTGTGTGTGAACATGTGTGCACGCATGTGTGTGTGTGTGAACATGTGAGTGTGTTTGTGTGTGTGCGTGCGTCTTTACACTGTAGTTTGTGTTTCAACCCTGACTCTTGGTGCGTGTGTCCTGTTATTTTACATTTACATGTTAGTCATTTAGCAGACGCTCTTATCCAGAGCGACTTACAGTTAGTGAGTGCATACATTTTTGTGTACAGGCTCTCGCTGGAAGTCCATGAGCAACCAGGAGAAGCAGCCATACTACGAGGAACAGGCCCGTCTCAGTAGGAACCACCTGGAAAAGTACCCCAACTACAAGTACAAGCCCCGGCCGAAGAGGACCTGCATCATCGACGGGAAGAAGCTGCGCATCGGGGAGTACAAGCAGATGATGCGCTCGCGGCGCCAGGAGATGAGGCAGTTCTTCAGTGTGGGGTAAGAAGAGAGAGACACTCCAACTTATCTACTGGGATACACTTTTTAGGCTAACTGGTAGTGTACTTAAAGGGACATTACACTCCAAAGTCCAAGTGTGTCAGATGTTTTCAAACCTCAAAATGGTCTTCTGTTGACATAAAGCCATGTCCTAGGTCATCGGTTTTGTAGATTCAGCTCTATGCCACAATCCAAAATGGAAAAAGATAAGCACCATGTAATTTCAAAATGTCCATAACAAAGAGATGTTGTTCACTCATTTGAATATAGCAGGAAAAACACAACCAATGTAGTGGTACGTGGATTCATCTTGACATTAGACTTATTTTGAAGTCAGAAAACTGTTTGGAGTGTAATTACCCTTTAAAGCAGCAATCAGCAGCTCAAATTATACAAAGTATTCTCCACGCCCCTGTTTTAGATAAAAAGCTGACGGACGGGGCTGGACAAAGTTTGTAACCACTCTCAAATTCATAGACAGAGCTATGGATGTAAGGACTGACCATCCATGATATCAAAATTATAGTTTTAACCATGTTTTGAGGCTGTATAGTGTTTGTTTACATTTACTTTGTTTACAAACATTGGAGTAAAACAAGCTTATATTTTGGGTTCTGATGGGGTACGACAGTTGAACTAAGCTGATGAGGCATTTATTAGTTATATTCTTCAAGAATCAATGGGTACATATCATTCATTTATAAGTCCAAAAGTGGATGTAGCAATTGCACATTCCCCCTTTTAATACTAAGTTTAAAGGGATAAGCAAACAGTGATCCTGGGATCAACAATCCCTTAAAAAAAATGTCATGGACTGCTCACATTTTCGGATGGTACACTTAAATCAACTGGTCCTAATCATTTTGTTAAGGGAAGTTGTTCTTTGTTTGGCTAATTCCCACTGTACCAAGTACTGACTCTGATTTGGACTATGTCCCTCAAGCAATAGTGCTGAGCTATGAGCTGAATCAGTAATCCAAACTACTAGTTTAACGATAATGAGGTCATTATGCTTTTCTCATCCTCTCATGTCAAACTGAAGGCAACGCTGAGAACAAGGTAGTGTCACAAATTGCACCCTATTCCCTAAATAGAGCACTAGTTTTGACCAGAGCTCTATGGGCCCTGGTTGAAAGTAGTGTGCTTTATAGGGAAAAGGGTGCCATTTCGGACTCAGACGAAACCAGTGGCTTGGTCTTAATAGAAAACAGGCATTGATGTGTTTTAAGTCATCACGGCGAGCCTCATTTCAATGGATTTACCAGGGGCACAGCTTTGAATTGGAACGATTTTTAATAGTTGTCATTTATTAAATTAGGACAATGGCGGGCGCTTGTGGGCGGTAGAAATTGGACACAGACATTACACTAGCAAGATATAAAACGTAAGCAGATGTTTGAGAGAGCGAGCGAGAGAGAGAGAACGTTAAGAAACAATGTTCTTCTGTGGGAATTTCAGTACTTCAGCATAACGTTTCCTTCAGGTTTCCATCTAAAGTCATGTTCTCAAATTGTTCTGAGAATGTTAAGAAACAATGTTCTTCTTTGTGAATTTCAGTACTTCCACAGAACATATCACACAAGTTCCCATGTGGATCTATTTAATGTCATATTTTTACTACATTCTGGGAAAGTTCTCAAAAATGTTGTGACTTAAGTAATGTTCTCAGAACGTTCAGAGAAGGTATGATTGTCTTTTATGTCAGTTCTTGGCAACATTCTGGAAATGTAAAAAATAAATAAATTGAATTGTATACATTAACATCAATAAGTTCTAAATTCCATTCTCAGAACATGAAGAAAACGTTCCATGAAAACCACAAGACAACTCTAGTAATGTTCAGAGAACGTTCTAAGAATATTATTTAAAAACATATTTTCTCAGCATCAACAAAACTGTCTCTATCCTCCATCTTGTTAAGTGTGTTCAGGTGTGTTGGCCACGCCCACTAATTGGCCACACTGATCTTAATGAATGCTTGTTTCCTTTCAAATGGGTCTGTTTGAATAGACTAAAATGAACAGCTTTATTTGCATAAAAAACATGGCATGCTAGCTTCATCCTGGTGGCGCAGTGGACTTATTCCATGGATAGAGAACAAAATCAAATCAAATTGTATTTGTCACATACACATGTTTAGCAGGTGTAGCGAAATGCTTGTGCTTCTAGCTCCGACAGTGCAGTAATATCTAACAAGTAATATCTAACAATTTCACAACATATACCTAATACACACAAAACTAGTAAGGAATGGAATTTAAGAAAATATACATATATGGACAAGCAATGACAGAGCGGCATGGACTAAGATACAGTAGAATATTATAGAATAGAATGCAGTATATACATATGAGATGAGTAGTGCAAGATATGTAAACATTATTAAAGTGACAGTAAACATTATTAAAGTGACTAGTGTTCCATTTCTTAATGTGGCCAGTGATTTCAATAGGCAGCAGCAGCCTCTAATGTGCTAGTGATGGCTATTTAACAGTCAGATGGCCTTGAGATAGAAGCTGTTTTTCATTCATTCGGTCCCAGCTTTGATGCACCTGTACTGTCCACGCCTTCTGGATGATAGCGGGGTGAACAGGCAGGGGCTCGGGTGGTTGATGTCCTTGATGATCTTTTTGGCCTTCCTGTGACATCGGGTGCTGTATGTGTCTTGGAGGGCGGGTAGTTTGCCCCCGATAATGCGTTCGGCAGACCGCACCACCCTCTGGAGAGCCCTGCGGTTGCGGGTGGTGCAGTTGCCGTACCAGGTGGTGATACAGCCAGACAGGATGCTCTCAATTGCGCATCTGTAAAAGTTTGTGAGGGTTTTAGGTGCCAAGCCAAATTTCTTCAGCCTTCTGAGGTTGAAGAGGCTCTGTTGCGCCTTCTTCACCACACTGTCTGCGTGGGTGGACCATTTCAGTTTGTCAGTGATGTGTATGCCAAGGAACTTGAGGCTTTCCATCTTCTCCACTGCGGTCCCGTCCTGTTGACGTTGAGTGAGAGGTTATTTTCCTGGCACCACACTCCCAGAGCCCTCACCTCCTCCCTGTAGGCGGTCTCGTCATTGTTGGTAATCAAGCCTACTACTGTTGTGTCGTCTGCAAACTTGATGATTGAGTTGGAGGCGTGCTTGGCCACACAGTCATGGGTGAACAGGGAGTACAGGAAGGGGCTGAGCACGCACCCTTCTGGGGACCCAGTGTTGAGGATCAACGAAGTGGAGATGTTGTTTCCTACCTTCACCACCTGGGGGCGGCCCGTCAAGAAGTCCAGGACCCAGTTGCACAGGGCGGGGTTCAGACCCAGGGCCTCGAGCTTGATGATGAGCTTGGAGTGTACTATGGTGTTGAATGCTGAGCTATAGTCAATGAACAGCATTCTTACATAGGTATTCCTCTTGTCCAGATGAGATAGGGCAGTGTGCAGTGTGATGGCGATTGCATCGTCTGTTGATCTATTGGGGCGGTAAGCAAATTGAAGTGGGTCTAGGGTGACAGGTAAGGTAGAGGTGATATGATCCTTGACTAGTCTCTCAAAGCACTTCATTATGACAGAGGTGAGTGCTACAGGGCGATAGTCATTTAGTTCAGTTACCTTTGCTTTCTTGGGTACAGGAACAATGGTGGCCATCTTGAAGCATGTGGGAACAGCAGACTGGGAAAGGGAGAGATTGAATATGTCCATAAACACACCAGCCAGCTGGGGATGCCGCTAGGGATGCCGTCTGGGCCGGCAGCCTTGCGGGGGTTAACATGCTTCAATGTCTTAATCACGTCGGCCACGGAGAAGGAGAGGCCACAGTCCTTGGTAGTGGGCCTCGTCAGTGGCACTGTGTTATCCTCAAAGCGGGCGAAGAAGGTGTTTAGCTTGTCTGGAAGCGAGACGTCGGTGTCGGCGACGTGGCTAGTTTTCCTTTTGTAGTCCGGGATTCTCTGTAGACCCTGCCACATACGTCTCGTGTCTGAGCCGTTGAATTGCGACTCCACTTTGTCTCTATACTGATGTTTTTGCCAGTATAATTGCCTTGCGGAGTGAGTAGCTACACTGTTTGTATTCTGCCATATTCCCAGTCATCTTGCCATGGTTGAATGCGGTGGTTCGCGCTTTCAGATTGGCACGAATGCTGCCATCTATCCACGGTTTCTGGTTAGGGTAGGTTTTAATAGTCACAGTGGGCACAACATCACCTATACACTTTGAGCTCTGTCAGTGTGACCATCAGGTTCTTGGTCACCTCCCTGACCAAGGCCCTTCTCCCCCGATTGCGCAGTTTGGCCGCGCGGCCAGCTCTAGGAAGAGTCTGGGTGGTTTCAAATTTCTTCCATTTAAGAATGATGGAGGCCACTGTGTTCTTGGGGGCCTTCGATGCTGCAGACATTTTTTGGTACCCTTCCCCAGACCTGTGCCTCGAAAACAATCCTGTCTCGAAGCTCTACAGACAATTCCTTCGACCTCATGGCTTGGTTTTTGCTCTGACATGCACTATCAACTGTCTGACCTTATATAGATAGGTGTGTGCCTTTCCAAATAATGTCCAATCAATGGAATTTACCACAGGTGGACTCAAATCAAGTTGTAGAAACATCTCAAGGATCAATGTAAACAGGATGCACCTGAGCTCAATTTTGAGTCTCATAGCAAAGGGTCTGAATACTTATGTAAATAAGGTATTTCTGTCAAACCTGTTTTGGCTTTGTCATTATGGGGTATTGTGGGTAGATTGATGAGGGAAATTCTTTATTTAATCCATGTTAGAATAAGGCTGTAACGTAACAAAATGTGGTAAAAGTAAAGGGGTCTGAATACTTTCCGAATGCACTGTATATACGGGTTGAAAATGGCAGATTTGGGCACTGATAAGTTCCTAAATTGGAACGCAGTGGCTGTACAGTAACATGCTATAAATGACGTCAGAGCTCTGGCTCTGCGCTTCACAGTGCTGTATGAGTTTTGACTGACAGCCGTTCTGAACTTGAGCACCACGCGCGACAAGAAGTTTCCCCCATCCCTGCCGCTAAATGGGCAACTTTTGCAATGTTTTTGTTGTCTGAGTGAGGGGACATGCTATAAATTAAGAGGACTCAATGTATTTTGAAAGATGAGACGTTGAGGATTATAATAAATACTTATTTGATGTCATACAAGGAAACCAAACACCCGTGAGTCCAAATGTGCACTTTATAATTCCATATCATAAAACTCAAGTCATATACGGTGTCAACGTTTATCATGGTCACTATGTTTGATGTACAGTTACAAGATGATATGGCGTCATACTCTGGGTTGTCCTGAACAGAATGAGCCTATGTTTGTCTATTGTGAAGAAAATTCACCTTGGAACACACACCTGAATGCACTCATGACTCCTTTCTATGTGCACCAAAATGATGATCTGTTTCTGTGAATTGCCTTGTGAAGCCTAACACTGTAAGATCGTCTTTTAGAACTTAGATGTTGACAATAGATCAAGCTTTCAATTGATGACTCTTCTTTGAGTCATAAAAGTGCATTGAAATTACTTAAGAACTGTGCACACTTTGGAGAGGTGTGTGGCCACTTGGATATTTTATTTTGTCTTATGTTGCACCTACCCCACATTTTCCAGGAATATTATTATCATGTTACTGAATGTATCCAGAGTATTTTCAGATTTCGTTATCAACAAATGCGGTGAAAAGTACAGTAAATGTAAAATATACATACAATCAATTGTGTAATGTTCGGATTCAGTCTTGTGTCAGGTGAACTTTGGTCTAATAATTTTCCCATAATCTCCAAACTGTTCCCTTTCAATTGCTACCATAATCTCCAAAATGTTCACTTCTCAGAAAAACTATCGATTTTACCGGTCAGGAAATGTATGGCTTCGTTCCCACAACCAATGTGAAACGAAAAACATACATTCCCACATCTTCCATGGAGCCAAATGTGCTAGCTGGGGAGAGTGGTGGTATAGGTAACTATGTAATTTGCTGTGTGTGGTCAAGAGAAAGCAAAGCCTGATTTGCCGTAGCGGCTGGAGTTTCACTCATGACTAAATCAAATAACTGGGGGGGAGGAGCTATAAATTGAGGTATAACCAATTTCGACCAGGCTCTCCATATAATGAAAACAGGGTCGTTTTTTTAAGCAGTTTAAGTCTGTTCTCCGCTGTAATTGTTTTCTAGAAGGGGGGAGGCGGAACTGTTAGGTGAGGAAACTGACAGCAATTTTCTTGGTTTATGTGCTTCATTTGAGGAGCCAGAGGGCTTGCTTGAGTGATATGCGTTTACCTTCATTCCATCCATTTCTGGAGAGGTTATTTAGCTGACGTTGACAGGATTACTGTGTGCTGGCAGAAGCTCTGTGTTAAGGCTTGCCCGAAAGAAGAGAGTGAGCTACTGTTCAACTTGTTTTAAATAGCTGAAGAATTAATGCGCCGTTCAAAATCAGGCTGGGAAAGAATTCATCTGTTTTTCTAATACACCCTCTCTGTCTGAGAGAAAGGCGGTGGAAGACGGCGTCGGGCGGAAGCGACAAGCAGGGAGAGAGAGGGAGCGAGAGAGAGAGAGAGAGGAGAGAAGAGCGAGAGAGGAGAGAGAGAAAGAGAGAGAGAGAGGAGCGAGAGAGAGAGAGAGGGGAGAGAGAGAGCAGAGAGAGAGAGGTAGAGAGAGCGAGGAGGAGAGAGAGAGAGTGGAGAGAGAGAGAGAGAGAGCAGAGGAGAGGAGGGAGAGAGAAGAGAGAAAGAGAGCGAGAGAGCAGAAGCAGAGAGAGCGACGAAGACGACTATCATCTTCTATCTCTCCACTCTATCTCTCGATCTCTCTCTCTATATCTCTCTCTCTCTCGCTCTCTATCTCTCCTTCTCTTCTCTCTCTCTCTCTCTCTCTCTCCTCTCCTTCTCCCTCCTCCCTCCCTCAGGCCACAGCCTCAGATCCCCAACAGCAACAGCGCTGGCGGCCTCTACCCGGGCGCCATCACCATGGCAACGGCCACACCTTCGCCTCACCTGACATCGGACTGCTCCAGCGCCTCGGCCAGCCCCGAGCCCGCAATCCCCGTCATCCAGAGCACGTTCGGCGTGGTCAAGCCCGAGCCGGTTGCCATGGTGACCGGTGACCACCCGGTCAACGGGGAGGACGAGATGGACAGGTACGAAGACTTTGAGGTCAAATCGGAATACAGCAGCGACCATGAGACACGGGAGCCTGTCAGTGCCAACTAAGTGTGCTCAGAAGAACTTCTGAACTTTTATAACTTTTTTTAAGCAGGACAATATGACAGAGACTGAGTTCTGCTCAGAACAACTTTTCAACAGTACGAGGGGGGCGGAACAGTTCCGTCTGGGATTTGATGCACCACGGACTGAGCATGCTCAGATTGACTCTGGACAGGACGTGACATACACTGAGCATTCTCTGATTGACTCGGGACAGGACTTGACATACACTGAGCATTCTCTGATTGACTCTGGACAGGACGTGACATACACTGAGCATTCTCAGGTCTCACAGATCGCCCATGTTTCTCAAACTACCATTTTGGAAAATAACACTTCTTCTGAACAATCCCATACCGAGTGATTGGGCTGAGACAACCTCCAAACAGATAGACAGTGAACATGCTCACACCAAGACAATCTAACACAGACAAGAGCTAGTAAGAGTCAGGGCGATGAGAAGAGAATGTTCGGACAAAGAGATAACTGACACATTTCTGCCTGTGGTTTTTTAAAGGAGCATCCATGGATTTGACTGAGACATCAGAAATTTGTCTTCAACAGCTATCGGTCTTAAATGTTTATTTTAAGTGTGATTACGTTTTTATGATGCGTTTCCTTTGATTGTGGGTTTCTTGATTTCCATGGACATTTTCCTGACAGGTTACTTACTGCCTGTAAAACCTTGAACTGTCAGGACTTTAACATTTGAAAGTTAATATAAATCCTTAGCTCTCGTCTTACATTATTATTTCTTATGAGTACAGTACATCTACACCTTTCTCGACAAATACTTACAATATGTTACAATACTGTTCATGATGGGGTTTTATATCCTTGCTCAGGTATGCTTTGCCAGCTTGTGAATGTGGTTTTGATTTCATACAAGTGAGTGGTAGGAATTTTCAGACTGACAATGAAACATAGGAGAAAATACTTATTATTATTATTATTATTATTATTATTATTATTATTATTATTATTATTATACTTATTATTTTCTGAGATATTGTACAGTTTTTCTTCAAATGTGCCAAACCTACATTCACATCCCTCTGAAATATTCTAGTCTTAATGTTGATGCTGCAAAAAGTCTTATACAATCAGTTTTTATTGCTGAGGTGTCCATATTAGGAGAAAGCTGCTGCTTTATCTGACATCCGCATTGCAGATGTTTTGGTGGTGTCAGAGGTGGAACTGCGTTAACGCTGTCAAATCCACAAGTGGGTCATGGCATTATACCTAAAGCAGACATTGCCATTGGCTGCACGGAGTCGCATGAAGAGAAATCCCATGCAGCCTTGTTTACAAGTTCGAACACTGGAATGTGAGATGTAATCTACACCTCAATTAGGCTGATAGAAATCATTTTTTAAATAATTTTATTTCTACATTATATAGCCTACACTTTCTCGTTCTGAACTTCTAACGCGAGTTGGACGGGTGTGGCTTCGTGACAATGATCAAAAGCAGCTGCTCAATGATTTGACAGCTCCAACGCAGTTACACCTCAGACACCACCAAAACATCAGCTATGCGGGTGTCAGCTATCGCCCGCTAACGCTTGACCTGATTGAATATAGCCTAAGTTTGTATTGGCTGTTTAGAGAAAACCAAACAATGGGTTACAGTTTCTCCTGGCCCATAGAATACTTTCAGGGTGAGGAATCATCTAACATCAAGTTGTAAAATCCTGAACTTCCCCTTTAATTCACCCATAATGCATAGGGGCCAAAAACTATCAAATTCGTTATTTTGGTAAACTGTTACAGTACATTGACGTTCAGTTGGAGTGGCTTTTAGGTTTGAAATCAATTTTTTAGTGTAGAGGTTGTGAAGATAAAATGTGTTAGATAGACTCTGTAAATGCTGATAAAGACACAGTACATCTTAATAGGCACAATAAGTCTTAAATTTGACTTGTGGGAATCGAACCCACAACCCTGGCGTTGCAAGACCATGCTCTACCAACTGAGCTACAGGAGCTATTGTATCTAGGTACAGAAGATCAGATTTGTTTCTGTGAATTGATCAGTTTACAATTATGTTGCCAGAGATGTTTTTCAAAATACAAACCAATGTTTTGTTTTTGTAAAATTGGTACATTGGCAAAAGAAACGTGGGTCAATATTAGCTCTAGCATTTCAAAAAGGTAGTTCATTAATATTTTTAAACAGATGTTTCAAGTAAATTAAAATATACCCATAAAAGTCCTATTTTCATATGCCCATCTCAACTTTTAAAATATGTATACTTTTACAACCTCTATTTAGGCGGGTTTAGGTTACTCTGTTTTCTGGTTGATTTGTATGTGATTTGTATCTCTTTATGACCATGTCAAATGATATTTTGCAGGTTGGTAGAAAATAACATTTTTGTTGCGACTGAAGTTTGATTTTGCTTTACAGAAAAAAAGGAGAGCTATACTGTTCACCTCATGCATAGACATTGTTTCAAGTTTTACAAGTATCACAAGCACTGGATATGAATTGTATTTTTTCAGTACTGTCTAATGTGAAGTTGTCGTTAGAAAAACAACAACAACATTTCTGACAAACAAAACATCACCTGAATGGACGCCAGAGTGGAGTACATTTCCAGTTTAGTAAGATTTGTATTATTTATGCAGAAATTGTTGTTTTAGCTTCAGTCCTGCCTGAGGTGCTCTGACCTTTGACACAAATTCAAAGGTCACTCAGACCACCATTAGGTTTTGACCTACAGAAGCAGACATCATTTTTCCTGGTCACACACATTTTGTGTTGAGTATTGTATTTGAAATTCAATTGTGCGTTTTAACATTTCATTGTATTTATTAGCCGGTGTTGGCTCTAAAAGTGTCAGTACAACTTGGTGAGAAAGACAATCAGAAAAAAATAAAGACTGAGATTTCCTTACAAATTCATTATCTAATCATTGACTTGTATTAAGTGTTTATCAGTGGACAGAAGGCAGCATGTACTTTTTGCTGTAAGTTATTGTTTTTACTTGTTTTTTAGTGATTATAACACTTAAGCAGTATCTTCAACAAGAGACTAATACCAAGCTGATCTAAACAAGTACACACACAGTAGGAGGTTAGTTGCAGCAATTGGCTTTCTATAGTAATGTTGGCTTGAGTCCATGCAGACATTTTACTAAGAATGAACATGCCATATAAAGGATATTAACATTTTCAATATGGTGTGATGAGAAAGAAAGTGCAGCGTTTATAAATTGAGGTCTGAGGAAATGTTTGACATTTATTGATTAAAAGGTGGATTCTCAGAAATAGTATTGACTCTGACACAAGTTATTATCAATGGTTAAATTGGATTTTCGTGGAGGAACTGCTTTCAAAACTGGTTGTTTTTCTATGTTTTTTTCTACAGAAGTATATAATAAATTCCAATTGTATACCGTCTCCCATCCATGTCGTCCCCCATCCAATATTATTAGATAATTACCCTTTCTATTCGTATAATTTTGGGAACTGATTTCAACATGGCCTATGGTTATTTTCCTTCATAATAAGTTATCCTTGTGTGTGTGTGTGTGTCACGGTTGGGCTCAATTCAGAATTGAATTTGGAATGCCTCATAAATTCCAATTCAATTCTTGAATTTGAATTGAAGTACTAAGGATACAGAATTACAATTCGGATTTGAATTTTTATTTATTCAACCTTTATTTATCCAAGTGAGTCAATTAAGAACAAATTCTTATTTACAACAACAGCCTAACCAATTATAAAGTGTAATTCAATGAAATTCAAATCCCTCTTCTATTCTACACTAAACAAAAACATAAACGCAACATGCAACAATTTCAAATATTTTACTGAGCTACAAGTTCATATAATAAAATCAGTCAATTGAAATAAATAAATTAGGCCCTTATCTATGGATTTCACATGACTGGGAATACAGATCTGTATTCCCAGTCATGTGAAATCCATAGATAAGGGCCTAATTTATTTATTTAAATGCATCTGTTGGTCACAGATACAGTACCAGTCAAAGGTTTGGACACACCTACTCATTCAAGGGTTTTTCTTTATTTTTTTACTATTTTTTACATTGTAGCATAATAGTGAAGACATCACAACTCTGAAAAAACACACATATAAAAGTGTTAAACAAATTGAAATATATTTTATATTTGAGATTCTTCAAATAGCCACCCTTTGCCTTGATGACAGCTTTGCCCACTCTTGGCATTCTCTCAACCAGCTTCACCTGGAATGCTTGAAGGAGTTCTCACATATGCTGAGTACTTGTTGGCTGCTTTTCCTTCACTCTGCCGTCCTACTCATCCCAAACCATCTCAATTGGGTTGAGGTCGGGGGATTGTGGAGGCCAGGTCATCTGATGCAGCACTCAATCACTCTCCTTCTTGGTAAAATAGCCCTTACACAGCCTGGAGGTGTGTTGGGTCAGTGTCCTGTTGAAAAACAAATGATAGTCCCACTAAGCCCAAACCAGATGGGATGGCGTATCGCTGCAGAATGCTGTGGTAGCCATGCTGGTTAAATGTGCCTTGAATTCGAAATAAATCACAGACAGTGTCGCCAGCAAAGCTCCCCCACACCATAACACCTCCTCCTCCATGCTTTATGTGGGAACTACACATGCAGAGAGCATCTGTTCACCCACACCGCGTCTCACAAAGACACGGTGGTTGGAACCAAAAATCTCCAATTTGGACTCCAGACCAAAGGACAAGTTTCCACCGGTCTAATGTCCATTGTTCATGTTTCTTGGCCCAAGCAGGTCTCTTCTTCTTATTGGTGTCCTTTAGTAGTGGTTTATTTGCAGCAATTCGACCATGAAGGCCTGATTCACACAGTCCCCTCTGAACAGTTGATGTTGAGATGTGTCTGTTACTTGAAGCATTTATTTGGGCTGGTAACTCTAATGAACTTATCCTCTGCAGCAGAGGTAACTCCGGGTCTTCCATTCCTTTGGCGGTCCTCATGAGAGCCAGTTTCATCATAGCGCTTGATGGTTTTTGCGACTGCACTTGAA